AAGCAATTATCCTGAATGTCAACTCGTCTTGCAGCATTCCTCAGCAGGAGGCCTGAAAATCCAGCAGATAACAGTTATCACCAGAGGAATGGGGAAAATGACCTGGCACTGAATACACACTCACAGTGTGTGCACAATGGAGATCTTTCTTATATCACAGATATAATCACATAAAACCTTTTACACTTTATTTTAGCAGATCAAAGAGCATAACAGAATTTGGACATCCAGAAATGTTGAAATATCATTGTTAAAACTGTCACAATATGTTTAAACTAACATATTTTTATTACAGACCCATTTTGTTTCTGCAGATGTCAAGTCTAGCATGAAAATTACAGCTTTTCATATTATGGTGCAATATGATTTGTGCTTTATACTCATTCTTCTAAGTACATTACACAAAATAATGCACTGTCCTGAAAAATAAAGTCCTCACCATCAGAGTCTGGTGCCACAGTAAGAAAAAAACAGATTTAATGTCACTTCTCTTCATCGTTTTCTCCACTCGCCTTCTTGCCAGTTTCCCATGTACAACAGTTCCCTCCACTGCCAAGTCTTCATTTAGTCTCTGTCATGTGTTTTTTCTGCAGCGCCAGCACTGAAGTCACCAACCGCTTTTCACCAGAAGGTTAATGCTTTTACAGCATTTGACATGTTAGGGTTAATGCAAACTTACAACCACTGCTTGAGAATTATTTGCTGCAAATACTCAAAATGTACTGATTTGATGTTCAGTCAGTTTCGCGTCATTAATGTCCTGTGGCGGGTCAGATATCACCTCCTGAATGTAATATAAAAAGAGACCTTAGATATTTTTGAGATCTGACTCCTAAAAAGTTATTTTGGCACTAACCACTATGAACAAGTCTGAAACAGGGATGTGCTTCTCACCAGCCAACACCATCCACTGTTTTTCTTCTGTGCCATCCAGTTGCATATTCCATCCTAAAACATCCTAAAACCTGGTTCAGTTCCAGATGGGGACCATTCTTGCATGTCATACTCCTCTCTCTCTGCTGGCTGCCCAAAAATGTGAAAATGCTTTTCAAATCGTTCCTGGCTGGAAAAGGAAATCACTGGAAAACGTCCATAAGTAAAAGAGGAATTGTTCCGTAAACTGCTGCTGAGAACCTCATCAAGGCACATAACCCACAGATGATGCTGTGGAGGTGATAACTGGTCACACTGGCCACCTCTAAGGAAAGTGTGATTGGGTGCTATGCCCTGCATTGAAGCGGGGCGCTGCTGAAAACAGCGAACATTGACTAAGAAAACGATTTGCCTGGGTAAATCAAAGGTTAAACTACAGATCCATCCTGGGGCAGCTCTCCTCCCTCACCTCCCTCCTTTCTCACTCTGCCTCTTCATCTAGTCTGTGCATTACCTCACCAGAGGAGGATCTGCCTAAAGCCGCAGCGGTCACACAACAGACAAAAGCGCTCATCTCCAGGAAGCCGCTGCCGCTGCCTGTGGTTTTGGAGAGGAGAGAAGAGAGAGGAAAAAGTGACTCAGCCCTACAGCTTCTTTCTTCTCTCTGCCGACTTAGGGATAAACGCAGGGATAAAGCACAGGGGGAGATAATATTTAGAGCAGGCCCCATTTCAAGGGCAATAGAAGACAGAGAGTGGAGAATGAGCTTGGGTGGTTTGGGAAGTAGCCACGAGGGTCAGTCTATACTGTTTCTGGCAGCAGGCCTTGCACTGTGGATTTATGTGTAAGTAGGGAGGAACCGCTGCTGGCCCAGCCCTGCATTCAGTCCCGGCCGATGCAGCTCCACGAGCTGCTTCAAAGCGGGCCAGATGGGCAACGTTGATGAGGCATGAGTGCGCTAAACACAAACACACATGCAAGCACAAACACAAATAAATTCATACAGACTCACCCTGACAAACAACTAAATACATAACACACAAAAATACTATATATATTTGTTGCACATGTGCTGGTGAGCTGGCAGACATGAACAAATGTGTCGACTTGAAGCGAGACCAAAGCAAATCACTGAAACTCACTTCTCTTTTCCCACTTTCAAATAAGTTCCTTACTGCAAACCTGTAAAACATTCTGCCCCTCCCAGACCTAAGTGGATATTTCTTATGTGTGGACAAATCAGATCAGTTAACTAAATGTCCAAGCTTAGGAGGGCATAATAGCTCATTGTTAACATAAGGACTGAGAAACTACAGTAAATTATTGTTGGACGCTGCCCATTAGCAGGTCTGATTCATCTCACACTGTAACACAGCAAAGTTCGCACACAAAGCTGAAGTAAAGAGGAGCAGAGCAGAGAAGGGCCTTGTTCTGAGGCGACCAAACAGGTAACCTCAGTGGGGTTCATTACCTCGTTAGCTCACCACAAATCATACCAATGGCTGCCTTCTGTCTGGTCACTTTCCTAACTCTTTGCAAATGATATTTATGCAATTACAGCAACCACGTGTAACAACAGACATCCAAAAATATGCCTGTTACGATGCATCAAGTGGCTTCATTCTTTCCTCAATGTCTTTCTCACTACAGCTGTTTTTATGACTTTGATTTTGCAGGTCCAACATGTACGGTTATCTCACATGAAAACGGCTGTATCTATCAATGCCATGCTAAGTAACACACTGAGTAAATACTCTGTAGGACTAAATGAGCTGTGGTCTTATTTTCCTAATCCACTAAACAGATTTTGAATACACAAATAAAAATCTGGATCTAGTTCTCCACGCTCTGAAGGTAAACAAACTGCAACCAATAAACCTGTTTCTAGTCAGATTTTGTGAACTGTCCAATAACGTCAGATCGTCTAAACATTAGTCATAGACACACCCGGCCCGAGCTCTTCTGATCAAAGCCATTAGAGTTGTACAGTAAGTAGAGGCCTTGATTTTGCAAATCCTGCATCCTCTTCTTTTGAAGCTCTTTAAAACAAACCAATGAATCTCACAATATTTTCAAACAAGTACACTTTGCACACAGCTGCTTTATGCAATAAAATAAACTCGAAGGACAGCGTCTTACATAATGCAGTATTACACACAGGCAACTGCCACTTTGGTACAAACTCTTACCCTGCAGCATCTCAAGGTAGCACTGTTGCTCAGCAAGCCCAATCACACAGACTAGTGAATGAAATACAGAAGCCACCCAAAGGTACAGGGGCCACGCCGTGAACGCAACCACGCAGTAACCAGTACAAGAGAGGCTATAAAATACAGCATGCATCCATTTCTCATTACAGCATCTAGACTTCGGAAACAGCCTTGACTAACGCTTATCCAAACACACACAGCAGCTGATATTAAAGCACTGAATGTAGCCTACTTGTAGAACAGCTGAATTTGACGAGTTGTGGCGTTTACTATCCTCGCGATCGTTTCCTCATTGCAACATTTGCGTTTTAAATGCTTCTCAAAGGCCAGCTGCATACGATGGGGCATTTCGGGATAGAAGCACAGCATGTCTGTGGTCCGTCAAAACATTCTTCAAAGTTGAACATGAGTTTCACATGTGGCAGTAGAGGCACCAAATGGTGAGGCAGGTTTCAGGGCCATCAACACACTTGGCATGGAAATGTGTTGTATAAAAATATGTTTTTACAATCTACGGATGGGTGATGGTGGTGTTGGAGGAGGGAGTGGGGGGGGGGGCTGTCTGTTCTATTTATCAGTGCAATTAGCAGTTAGAGAAAAATGTATAAGGTTAAAGGATTTTAAAGATAAATATCATCTATCAAAGAATCCAAAAAAGATGTATGTATGTTGCTCCCCAAGCTGATCTAGAGCTGTGTTGTCAGACCTTTTTGGCTTGTGACTCCTCTGAACAAAGACATTATTACATCTTGTTGAAAGTGTCATTACAGCTGTGACCAGCTAAACCAGTCGATGCTATATTTGAATACCTTTCAGAGGGGAGAACAGGTTTTAAAAAACCCAGTTATTTATGAGAGAAAACCACCAAATATCTTAAGAATATGTGGGAAAAAAATTGCTGCAGATTTTTTTCTGCTGTCCAATATTAAGCATCAGCAACCTCAAAGATCTATTATGTGAGCCCTTAATGGCATCCTGACCAGTGGGAATCACAGTCCTAGATTTTGGTACAAGCCATAAATCATCTCTTAGAAACTGAACTCCCTGGCTAACTAGCAGAACACAGATTACACCCACAACAAAGCACTGAAACATGTCTGTCCACTCTGCGAGCAAGATGCCAGACAGAGTCAAACAGACCACTTGTTGACCTAACAGTGACACTGCTCAGAGGCCACTAGAGAGGGCCTTAAGAAGTATTCTTAAACAGGGGGATTAACCAGATGGTCAGATCACTCTTTTCTCCAACCTCTCCTCTCTGTATATTTCATATGTCTCCTACTTCTGCTGAAACCATCAAGATCGGCAACTGTGACCTCACCAGCTTAATTTGGCCTAGTGTTACCTACAGCGCAATCTGACTCCAGATATAATCTTTATTGCTCACAGAGAGAAAGTCCATTAAAAGGGATACTGTAGGTCTTGCGCTGAACGGTTCCTGGAGTGATGCCTGTGAGAGTCTTTAAAAGACCCCTTTCTTAACCCAAGTGAAAGCAGCCATTGAGGGTGCACAGGGCAGAATCCTAACTGGAGTGGAGGTCTGCATTTGCTGCAAAACAAATCAAAAGCGTTCTGTATGTGCTGATCGAGGGGAGCGAGGTAGTGGACATACACAGAGTCAGCTACAGTTTTGTTAACATATAGTAGCATGCACAAACACACACACACACTAGACTTTGTGTGCTGCTCTGCTAACACAGCTGCTGGTGCAAAACGTGGCGTGTTCAAACATCAGCAAGAGTTGCTCCATTCTGCTCCTAGTAAACAACAATGTGTTCCTTTTGAGAGCTTATCTGCCATTTTAGTGGAAGCAAATATCCAAAGTGCCAAACTGCGGCATAAAAGCCTACACAAGCTGGTAGTGTTACTGTACAAGAAAACACAGGCCATTTGTATCAGTCGATGAGGGAAACTTACAGAAACAAGAAACTTCAACTCCAACACCCTCTTCTCACTTGTGGATGATTTTAAAATTCATGAACCTCACCTGGAAAAGAGGAAAACAAGAAAATGATTATGATTCTGATATCACAACAACATCACTTTTGGTTTAAAAGGTTCACCCAAATTATTAAAAAAAAAAAAAGATATTTTGTCAGTGTTTTCACTGTAACCACATTCTACTGAAGAGCTACTGACTGCATGTTCTGTGGACTGTCCAGTGTAGCAGGATCACTTACTGGAAATAGATGTTGTTGGGGGATTTTTTTCTAACGCTGTGACCACCAAAAACAAGTTCCATTCACTTCCATAGCAAATAAAATGTCAGCAAATAAAGCTTTTAGGTGAAACAGTCTTGTTTATAGGGCAAGCCTGTCCCCATAGTCAGGAAACATTTTACTGTAATGGACAAAGGTGGGAGGAAGTCACAACCAAGTCCCAAGTTACTGTGGTGAGAATCAAGTAAGTCCAGTCGAGTCAAGCAAGTCACAAGTCAAGTCATACAAAATTCTGATGATCTGATAATGTTATAGGAATATCACGTATTTAAGTGAAATGTTCACAAACCACCTCTGATCAATAATTTAACATTTACAGGCTATAAATTAACCTGGCTATTAAGTAAGAAAGGCATACTTTTCAGAAACTCTTCTCGATAAAATGGGTAATCGATTCGACAGCCTAGCTTAATGTTAGCTTACTAGCTAAAGTTTGACTAGCCAAAAAGTTTGTGACGGATGACGTTGGTGGTCGTGTCGCATGATTTTTGACACATACCCCTATTCTCTTCTTGCTGCCGTTATCGACAATATAATCATTGGGTCCAAACTTTATTTTTGGACTAGTCCCCGCCATGACAACTACGGCTGTGTCCGAAACCGCATACTGCGACAGTACGTACTGAAAGAGATGAAGTACCTACATACTGACCGTTAAAACAGTAGGTACTGTATAGTATGAAGCCTGGTAGTATGAATGAGATTCGGACGTACTACATCCGCCATGTTGATACATCACGTGACATACGTTTTCATAGCAGCGTCTTCTTTGTTGGATAACTCCTCTCCCGGGGCATCATGGGATAGTGAAGTGTCCATCGTATGCACACTGCAAAATCCAACCGGAAGCAGTAGGTCATCCGGGTACTTTTCGCCTACTGTTTTTGGAATACTACGAATCCGGACATACTACTCGCCTCGCCTACTGCTTTTCGCCTACTATACAGTATGGTAGTAGGCGGTTTCGGACGCAGCCTACATCATGCTACCTGTGTTGCCCTCTGCTGGTCTGCTGTGGTGAGTTGCCAGGTTTGTGCGCAGTGTACTAGAAATCACCCAATTGCGTTTCAGAGACAAAACGTAACTCCTCAATATCTAGAAAAATGCAAATATTTAATAAAAACTGAAGTAACCTCAAGTCATCGTTCTTAAATCTGAGTCAAGCCTCAAGTCATGAACTCCAAGTGAAGTCAAGTATTTTACCAGTGTTAGTCAAACAAGTCTCAAGTCTTAAAATTTGCAGCTTAAGTTTGACTGGTAATGGACAATGACCAAATTCTTCACATCCCACCAACAAACTGAGGTTTGACAAAGTATGAAAATTTGAATTGGAACGTGTGTCCTGAGTCCAGTGAATACACTCTCAGCCCACTTGAGGTGCGTCTGTAACGGATGCTCGAAACAGAACAGAGGTCCTGTGTGAAGTCCACAGCAGAGCCAACAGAGGATCAGTGTATATTTCTCCAAGCGCTTTCACTGCACAAACAACGGCACATACTCAGCCATGAAAATCCTAATACACAACAAACAGGGTGACTCTTGTACATGGCTTTAAAATGGCTGTAATCCATCTTAAAACAGTTAGTGATGCCTGATACTTTCTTTCAGAGCTTGAGTCCAAAAAGATGAGGAGAAAAATACTCTCAGTAGATGGACAGCTCACCCATTCCTTAGCTGCCTGGCTTAAACAGACCTTGAATGAGTCCCAGTGTGGGAGAGGATGGGAGGCAGTTTAATTGAGTGTGGGAGGCTGCTAATTAAAGAAATAAAGAAGTGAACCGTTTGAGGACAGACGTACACAGAGAGCCTGTTCACACAGTCAGGCAACAAAACACACCACAGCAGCATTTCTTTGACACTCATGACAGTGCCTTAAAATGGCATCTAACTTCTACAAAGAGCACAAAACAAGCACGGCTTTGATTCTATGATTTGAAGCTAACTGAGGACAAGGAAGAAAAAAGAAAACACTGCACATGTATGACCTTTTATTCATGTCTTTAATCAGCTAAGTGATTCTCCCCTGGATGTATTTTTCTTTCAGAGCACAATTAAGAACAATTCTAACCAGAACAACTCAAAAGCTTGTACACTAAGAAGTTCTTGTAATGATAATAATATAATAATAAAAAAAAATTATCTGCAGAAACACAAACATCCTTACATTTATTTATTTATTTTGTAGAAGAAGCAATGTTGCCCGACAAAAGCTGAAAAGCCAAGGATTCAAAAAGCCACTTTTCAATCGAGCGATTACAAGTTGGATTCCCTTGAGCACCATTCACACTCTGTGGCTCTCGCTGACCCGTCTGAGCATGTTCCAGATGTCTGCAGAACCAGTTATTCTGTTTCCTCCCCCTTTTTTTACCCCCCCTCTCTTCCCTCCATTCCTCCATTCCATACACCCTGCCACTCATCTGCAGATGGCAGATCTGACACCTGGAGGATGCTGGGTAATCAGAGAGACATCTGGCTGCCCAGTACATGTGTACATACACATGCACTCACACATTCAGCAGCAGACTTGTGTGCAGGAATACAGTCACATCCATACTAGCATGCATGTATACTGCACACAGTGGCCCACAGGTTTCTGCATATGTTGTCAAGTACATACTGCATATACATGTGCATTTATAAAGTGCACTTCCATTTTTGTAATATGTAGAAATCATCCACAGCACAAAGTATTAACAGGGATGGTGCAGGGTAAATGAGACAAACGAGAAGGTCTTTCAACTCACTGTGTGCAGGAGTGGCACCATATTGAAGTCACTGAAAGTGTAACAGAAGGGTTAAGGAATATTATTTTAAATACCCACCCATATAGATTTTCAAGATCCTACATGTGCATATTAACCATCTGGGAGCTGCAACATTAACTCCTGTGAGGTTAGGGCCTGTAGCCCCATCCCCAACATTTCAAACCAAAAAATTTCCAAGTGGAGACAAAGAAATGAAAAAATAGGGTGTTCCATCCTCACTTTGCTATTCATGTTCTCCCACATGTCTAATCCCAACCGTTGCTCTTCCTATCCTCCTCCGAGGGAGAGCAGACATATGAGACCTAGGCTATAATGGCATTCCGGGCTCCTACTGACAACTGCAGGAAGTAACAGCTACCTTTTTGGTCCACTGTCCAACAGCTGTAAAATGGCACATGTTACCCTACTGTTGAGCCAGCAGCAAAATGCACCTGTCTGCAAAAGAAACCTAGAGCAGCAAAATGAAAGGCCGGGGACTTTGGCCAAAGCAAAGCTGTGACATCATAGCATTACAGATAGTAACATGAGAGGTAAGAGACATGGTGCATGACCAGGAGATCCACTGTATTATATTCAGAGCAAGGTCTGCACCTGCACAGTGAATGCATGTGTTCACACAACAAAATATGCACAGTCTCAGAAATGTCTTGTTGCAGCTGTCAATGCCACTTGTGCAGACGTGGACATACTGGAGCTAAGAACAATGGAACTCTTTGCGATAGAGGCTTTCTCAATGATCCTAGCACCACATGAGGCTCTGTGCTGCCACTTCCATGTTTGCACCATAGCAAATGGAGTATGTTTCCAACTGACAATTAAACAAGAATGAGGTTCAGATAACACAAACAAGATGAGCTTATACGACCATGTCTACAGGTCTTGTAATGTTTTTGGTATTATTTCTCTATTTTCACTCAGGGGGTCTAAGCAAGCAACTTATCCTCACTTATCACCGAGCTGTTATTTTACTGCTTTTCACATAATTTGCTTAATCAAATATGAGAAAATTGCTGCAAAATTATGTGTCCACTGGCAATTGTTTTTTCCAGCTCTTGAAGAGTAACATTCAAAATGCCAGTTTGAAACAAACTAGTTTGTATGTGTTGTCCAAGGAGGCAGTGTTTATAGCACTTCTGAATGGCCACATGTGAAGGCAGAGTGAAAACCCACCTGTCACAGAGAACAGTGAAACACAATAATTAGTCAAATGAAACAGACAGTCTTCCCTGAAAGCCTTTGTGCTGCTGTAGTCCTTTAGACAAAATAATTAAAGCAGTTGTGTGAAAAAAAGAGCCTGAAAGTTCAAAACCTGCCTACTTTCTCACCTACGGGCTCTTCGCCAGGTTGTTTGTTTCAGAAATTGTTAGACACGAACCCCTAAGTGTGACACTTTGTGAAGAGCCAACAAGCATGTCATTAGAAGCATAATGACCCCTTTATAGAGCACAGAGGTCAAAAGGCAGTTGGCTGAGTGGAAAAAGCACAGAGCTTTGACACTGGAGATCAGGGTTTGCATCCTTATTCCATGTGTGGTTGAGTTTAGACTGCTTAAACACTTAAGGTGATGTGGGGATGATAATATTTCAATATAAATGTTTTTTGTGGCTATGTTAAAAAAAAAGACTTGTGAATATGCATGTGGGTGGGCAAATTGCTTCTCAGAGCACCTTTAATATGTGGAGCAAGAAGATATTTGCATGCCTGAAAAGTCTTTGTGTTTCTTTCACAAACGTCCTAGGTGAACATAACAGAGGCTTAAGTGACAACATGCATTCTCTCCCAAGTTGCTGTTAACATGAAATATTGTTAAAGTAAAGGGCGGGAGGGAGAGGGTTGGTAAAGGCAAGTGCCAGCACATACATCTAAACCTCACCCCTCTGCTCACTACCCTGAGGAGATTACATTATGGCACTTGCAATTGTCCTGCTTCTTCAAGACAAAGCCTGTTCCAGTGTGCAAACAGCACGCTTTGGAAAGACTGTAAAAACAAGAGGTGAATGTCA